CTGAATGCAAGAAAATTCTTTTCATTGGAATCATTTTCTCTCATTTTAATCCATTGTTAATACAAAAACGAAGGTCAAAAAGCAACACTTAAGAAGTTTTTTGTCAACACTTTTCATCAAATGTACAAGCAAATTCAAAACAATTCCCGGTAACCCACTGATTCTAATAATATTGAAGATCATAATTCTTATACAAATTCTTTGGATTATGTAAATTTCGGTGCTTCCCATGTAACTCTTTGTCTCCGTTCTTTTACAGTCTATAATTAAAGGATTGATTGAATTGTTGTTCAGCATCTGAATCCCAATAACACGTATTTGCTCATAAAGCGCAGTGTTGAGCAAATTTGCATTGCTTTACTTGCACAGACATTGGAAGACTGTAGATCTTACCCAGTCGTTGGTGTTATTATAAGTTGGTAATATTATAATTTTACCTAAAATTTTATCTTTTATTCAATTTTTCAAAATGTAATAGCATTAAAATGCTTCCATGGAAGATTCCTTCCAAAGTTGAGTTTTTTTCGATGTTTTGCATTTTGCTCATTGAACCTGAAAATTTTCTACTTTTTACTGTCGAAGGTCATTTAAAATAAAATATCATGATAATAGGTATGAATAATTTCCTGAGATCGGACGAATTGTCACACTTGGAACCCTGCTCATGTCAAATAAAAAATGAACTGAGTGATACTCAACTCAATTCATACTTTGAATTTTGGAAGCCTTTGATTAAATATTGAGCTAACAATGTAAGTATTGAATCAGCAAAAGATGAAGCTAATGATGTTTACATTATTCAACTATCATTATCATCATTAATCCAATAACCAGCATTTGCCTGAACAACACAGTCGATTGAGCACATTTGAACATTGAGATTCATTTTTTATTAATCAATGCAACATTTGAAGCTTTGAAGTGCTAATTTAGTTATGTAATGGCAGAAGAACGATAAAATAATGCAACTTAATGAGATAATTTGATGGATAAGTTAAGGATTAAGGGATGACCATTGAAACTGGCTGTATTAATGAGTCAATAGAGTGTTATAAAAGAGATAAAAAATGAAACTCTTGAGAGAAAAATCAATAATCTATTTTCAATCATGACACATACAACATCAAGTTATCAATCAAAACATTTTCTGTCGATAGAAACTCGCCAAAAGAAGGAAAAGAGGAAAAAGAAAGAAAAGAAAGAAATCATATTTTTATGTAACAATTTTTTTGATACAAAGTTAATCGTAATTCCTTAAAGCAACGAATCATTATCATGAAAAATTCTTGGCTATTTAACTCCAACTGTCAATCAAGAAGCATTTTTTTCTTTCCCAAGGCAATCTTTAAATTGCCTTATTTGCACTCCATTTCGGGTTGAATCCCTTTTCAGATAATATCTTGTCAGATGCAATTGAACATTCTGTTTACCATCAAATGATTATACAATCAAGGGTCAGACATGATAATCTGAATTGAATGGAAACTCGACAATTGAAAGTCAATGTTGTTGTTACTGATTTGCATCATTCAATGGACTGACAAACATTTCCGTTTTCCTGTTAACAACTTCCCTACCCTTTCATCGCATCTGTACATTCACATCTTTTTTTTCATTCCAACAAGAATTGAACTTTTTTCTTTCCTCATTCTCAATATTCCAACATCATTCCCAGCATCCATTTGCTTTTCATCTTTTAACTTCATCATCATTCTCATGGTGATGAGATAACATTTCCGTTCATCTAATTTACATGAGTTCATATCCGGTTGAAATTTTTGCCTCAAATTTTCATTGTTTAACAAAATTGATAACCATTCAACTGGGAATCCAAATTTAACCAGAAAATGTTTCGTTGATGAAGGAAGACTGAGAAGAGGAAAGAATCTTGAATTCATTTAATCCATCCAATTGAACACCGATAATGGATTAAATTAATTTTAAATGATTGATTGAATCTTTAATTGTTGATTAACCGAAGCCAATTTAAACAGTCAAATGTTTTCCTTCAAAATGTTTCTTCTTTCAAATTCTGTATTCATTGAGAAATGAATGATAATATAATTTGACTATTAATATCAAGTTTCGCCTTTCAAATGAAACATTGCTAATTAATTTGCTCAATTAAACGTTGATTAACTCTCGAGAGAATCAGTTATTGTAATATTGAAAGATTAAAGTGAAAAGATAATCAATCATTTTGATTGAGAAAGTGAAATAATAATTAGACAGGAAAAGCTGAATGAACAGAGAATCTTGATCGAGTGCGAAACAATGAAATAAATTGATTTAAACGCATTTCTTTTCACAGTTGAACATTTTTATTAATAAAAGTGATAAAGAAATGTTGATCATTTTGTTCAATTCAAATTTACTCGGAATGAGAATAGAAAAAAAATCAGCAAAATCTCATTTGAAAAGAGCAATTGTTATTTTTGAATAATTTTTTTCTTCCTCATCAACTTCATCTTTGAAACTCTTTTTTTCTGCATTTCCTTTGCTCTTCTTTGTTTTCACCATTTGATGAACCAAATATTGTTTCTTCATTTGATTCAATGACATTATCAACTTTATCATGAAACGACATGATTTTTATCATTCATATTCAATTTTGTCTTCTTTTTCATTCCCTTTTCACTCTCATCACCCTCACAACTTTCAACCAACTTCAATAGTTTTTCATTCAATTTCAATGCCTTTAACAGTCTTCATTTCATTCCCTTGAAAAGAGATGAAAAAAAAATAATTATAATAATGATAATCAGGTTCACATTGTTCTCATTTCCCTGGCAAAATAACTAATACTTTCATGTGCCATTCTGAAGTCGATATTGGAACGAAAAAAAATGTGAACAAAAAACTTTGAACCGGAGATTGAAATTTGTATTAATAATAATGTTTAATGGTGATGATGAATCAATTGTTTCATCTTTCCTTTCAATCCTTTCAAGTAGACCAAGTAAAAGCTTTTATCTAAATGAACATCATTTGATTATTTGATCAATTTCAACAGAGAACAATCAAGTTAATGAATAAAGTAAATTATGATTTAAACAGTTTTATTAACAAGATAAACAAGTCATCAAAAAGGGTTATTTGCCTATCAATAATGTACAATCCTGTCCAACTTCAAAATTCAATTCACTCATTTCAGTATTTCCTGGTTTTTAATTTTCAGATTAAAAATTCCACTCAATGTCATAAATAAATAATGTTATAATTAATTTTTCATTTTCTTGATTAAATTCAACCAAAACCTTCGCTTTGAGTGAAAAACGATTTGAAAAAATAGTTTTAATAAAAAAATTTTTGCATAAATCTGTTAGGAAATGAGTGTTTTCACATCTCGCGCCTAGAAACATCAGACAATTTCAGGCACTCAATTGTAATCGGCGATTTACTGGTTCTTTCCCTTAGGTTTACTTCAGAATATGTTATCATCTTGAATAACCATTTATCCATGAATAGATTTGGGATGTTCGGTTGGAATTTCACATTTCGAATTTTCAATGAATTTCTTCTGTGGAGCAACAAAGTCAAAGTCGCGAAAGGTTAAATGATATTTAGTGAAACCTGTTCGTATTGAAGCTTTAAAAGGTCAGTTTGAATAATTTTGGTAAGTAAATGGGTAAATAAATCAAGATTACGAGGTATTAAGGTGAGATGAAGGTGAATAGATGAAAAATGTCTTTAAAGGGTTAACTTCTTTAGGTAAGATTATTCAGAAATAAAAGCAATATCATGAAAAGGATTTAGTTATGGATAAATTTTTTTCATCATTCCTATCATTATCATCATCATGTTAATAAGAGAATTATGTTGATTTTATTCAACTCATTTTCATCATTTCAATCGTTTACTTTGCAACAGTCTTGAGGAAATATTTTTGGGAGGATTTCAGTTTCGTCTTTTTTCACTTATATTCTTATTCTGTTTCTTTCAACAGTTTATCGATGAACACTGAATATCAGAGAATAACCTTTTTTCAATGTAAAAAGATTCTGATACTCATAACTGATCCTTGACTTTTTTCTGCTTTCAACAAACTCTTTATTTTTCATCATTATCATCAACTCATCTTCATTCAAATTTCACTTTTTTTTACAATATTCATCAAACTCTTCCTGTTCCATCCTCTTTCTCATTCTGCATCTTCTTTTTTCTCTTTCTCGTCTTTTCTTTTCCCAATGAATCCTATTTAAATCGACCTTATTCAACATCGAAAAAATATTTCTCCAAATAATTTGAAAGTCAAATAGAAAGTTTCTTTTCCTAATATCAGCATTTGAACAGTTTATTAGGTGATGATCTTTAACTGTTTATCTTCTTTATCTTTACTTTCTTTTTTGTATTTTGTTATTTTTATCTTCACCTTTTCATCCTCGTCTTGAATTTTATCTCTTGTCTGAACAGATTCTTAAGGTGTAATATTCGATGGATAAAAGCTGCTTCAATATAAATGATAGTCTGTTTCTGTTGTCTGAGATGCTTCCTCTGAATGAATGTAACTGTAAGACAAATGCTGTATAACATTTTTCCATCGGAATAGATAATGCTTGTTAAGTGACGACAGAAATGGAGAAAAGCAGATCTAATCTTCAGTCAGGTCATTCATCCATTCAACGGTCAATTCAGCAAATCTTTGGTTTCGAAATTTACCCTTCTTATAAAAGGTTGTTTAGTCGGTCTGGTGAAATTTGCATGCATGTAACAACCAATCTCATAATATCACTAAGCTGCATTTGAAATTGAAGCAAGAAAAGGTTGCAAAGAAAACAATTCTGTTTTTCTTATTTCAATCGGTATCTGCTTTTTGCGGCAACTTTCAGACTCGACAATTAGAAAACCATATTAGAAGATTGGCACTAATTCAGTCATGAAATTTTGAAAATCCATATTTTGCATCAAATTGGTCAAAGAAGTCTATCGGTTTAATGGATTCACCGTGTAGTTTCATTGATGGATAATTTCTGATCGAAAAAACAGCAGTCGTGGAAATGTTGATCTTGATTAATTTCTCTCTTTATTTACAACAGATCTTCAGAGCACTTATTCAAAAGCTTGATCTTAAAATGTTCTGAATCAGCATTAAATTAGCAAGAGTTGACGTTGACAATTCCAATGGGTTAGAAAATAATTAATCCGTAAAAGAGGTTTCAGAAAATTTTCAGTGGCAAATTCCTTCATTTGTTACGTTAAGACGATATATTGGTGAAAGTTTCATGTTCTAAAATCCATTTTCCATATTTCATGCATCGTAGAAGTTTCTTTATTACCAATATTACGTGTTTGACTTTATCTGATTTTGTCCACTGAAACCTGCACTTATTTCATCTCGAGTACATAATAAAAAGACAATAAATTGTTATGGTTGTGTGCATTGATTTTATTGGTCTATTTTCCGAATCTTTGTTCACAGTTTGAATAACGGCTAATGACACTTAGGAAATCTTTTTCGACCAGTTTGCCAAAAACAGGAAGGTGAATTATTTCTGTAAGTCGTATATTCCATGGTAAGAGTCCGAATAAACAAGGGGTTTCACTACACAAAACAGACAAATCAGGATCAGGTAAGTCCAATTTGGATAGTAGAGTTTGATCAAATTCATCCACTGTTATTTTCCCTTTATCTTCAGATAACCTTTTCTTAACAATTTCTTTGAGTAGCATCGCCATAATAAATTTTTGATTTAATAAGGATATGATTCTCAATTTTGAAGAATTATATTCACAATGGAAGATGATATTGCTATCTAAGGAACCTAATATAACAAAAAAAAGAATTAGTTATTAATTGAGATGGAAACTTGCGCGATATAAAACAGCAATTCTTACCATTCTGTTGGCTACAACGAAATTTCAATTGACGGTCTAAATCCAATTTATTACTGATAGATTTTTCAATATCTGATAGATAGTTAACTAGAAGACCTATCAAGGAAAAATCAAAGGCAAATTAGATAAAAAAGCAATGACTGAATGGCTGACAGTGAGGAAAATCTCAAAATTTAACATCTGTAAACTTACCTTCGCTATCATACAAACTTATATTTTCAATTCCTAATTGGATGGACCAATTGACGAGTGACGCTATCTCATCGATTGACAACACGTTATCATGACAGTTTATTACAAAAACGACGTGGTGAGGTAATTTCAAATAATTATCTAAATCACTGGTAATGTTTATTTTCCTTTGGAAAGAATTAAATACATTTTTAAGGAAAACAATGATTTTTAAACTTCTATGCACAAAAATTAATAAAATTGAGAAAAATAGATCAAAACTTTTGGTAATAGACATTGAATTGATCTATTAATTATCCAAAAAATATCAAAATCAAAACTTTAAACAAAACATGGATAAGGATAAAAACTAACAACAAGCAAAGATAACCGCAAATACAGCTGGCATAAGTCATAAGTAATTTAGTATCCACTAGATGGAGTAAGCATCATTTTAATTTGTTTCGGTTGTTAGTAACAACCCGAATAGCATTTTAAAATTTAAAATACTTCAGGCGGTTTCATAATGAAACTTGGTTCTCTAAATAATCATAACTGTATTTTTAACCCTGTTGTACAATTTAAAGCGTAATTTTAAAATAAATATGTTGTTGAAATGTTTTTTGGATAAATGTTAAACTTAAGATTTATATATATATTATTTATATAGTATACATAGTTCAGATTCTTTTTTTGAGACAAATGGGCCCAAAATTTGAATATATTAGAGTGATCCATTGATGGTTACCCTCGCATAGTTAACTTAACTTAAGACGGACAAAAACACTTCTAACAAAGTAACTTTGTAAGTTACTCTCCAGGTCGTGTTTGATCAGGGAAAAAGGTTTAGACAATTTACGATTAGTTTTTATTAAGTTGTGCTCAAAACAAAAATTTTTCACAGCGAAATTTTTTGAGTCCAGAAATCAAAATTTTTACAGATTTTTCGACTTTACGCGAGAAATAAAGACTCTGGACTTTATATTCAGAATCCAGCCGACTTATGCATCCAATCTGAAGTACAGATGCAGCTAAAAGTCTTATTTCAAGTCCAAAATTTCGAAAAATCTGCAAAAATTGTGATTTCTGCGCTCAAAAAATTTCTTCGTCAAAAATTTTTGTTTTTACGCACAACTTAATCAAAACTAATCAGAATTCGTCCGAACCTTATTCCCTGATCAAACACAACCTGGAGAGTAACTTAAGAGTGTTTTTATCCATCTCAAGTTAAGTTAACTATGCTAGGGTAACCATCAATGGATCGCTCTAATATTTCAGATTTTGGTGGGCCATTAAAAACTACCGCCTTTTCTTGCGAAAACAATCAAAAAATGCCCTTTTCCAGGTTATTTTCTAAATATTGGTTACATCTATGTATATATATACACATTAAAAAAGAGAACAAAACAATAAGGAATTATCATCCACTGAGCAGAGGTTGTTGATCACAGTCAAGCTGAGAAGATTGTGATGGTATATTATTTAACTCTATTGTTACAGTCGATGATGTTGAACAATTATGATGGTATGATTGATGAATAGAATCATTTGAATCATCACTTCCCACTGGTCCAATTTCTGTTGATTGGCTAGACCCGTCTTCATCTTCATTTTTACTAGAACGTTCATTGCTACAACTAATATCACCATTTTGAGACTGTTGATTATTTTGTGTGAGTAAAGGATGATTGGAGGATGTTGTACAGTTTGGTTCTTCAATATCAGATACAGCATTACTTTGAGTTGCTGATAGAGTCGATGAAGTTGTTGCTTCATTCATTGTTGGTCTAATATTGATTGAGCCCGTTGTGGGTATCGAAAGTATGTTCATAGTTGCTGGTATGTTTGAGCAAATGCTTGGTCGTTGAAAAACACCAGTATTATAAATACCATCAGATTCTGTGAGTGATTGTTGTGATGGTGGTGGACTAGGCGGACGCCTTCGACCTCTAGGTCTTAATCTTCTAGGTCGTCGACGAGATGAAGAAGATGAACATCCAGCTCCATATTCATCAATACCAGAAACCGCTGAAGCATAGCTTGGAGGAGGCTCTCGATAAAAATATTCAGAGTCTGGACTGAAAAGAGGCGATGTTGAATGACTATTACTACGAGCGAATGGAAAGTACCTTTGGTAAATATGTGATGAAGAGTAAAGATTATTAGTTGCGGAACCGCAATAAGAATCGTCTTGAGCTTGACGTTGCTGTTCAATTTGACGCAAAGCAATCAATTTACATGTACAACTTATAGCAATAACAAGTAAAAGTCCGCAGATAAGAGATCCCATAAGAGCAGCTGTGATAACACTATTTTTTAGACAATTTATTTCATCTGATGAATCTCCACAATCGTTACTTCGATCACAGGTTAAAATAGCTTGGATACAGTTACCATTTGTACAAAGAAAGTTGCCCTGTTCAGGACGATACTGTTCAGTGGTACAATTTATTTCATCAGATCCCATGTGAACATTTATTGCAGCTTCATTCATATGTACCATTAGCACAGTTCCAATTACCATCACAACGGTCTTTGGGGAAAGAGTAACAAGAAAAGGTGTGAGAATCTTCATTTAAACATTGAGCTTCATTGGATTCCCGACAAACATGATCACAATTGGCTTCATCTGAGTTATCGCCACATCCAAGATTTATCTATACATTTTCCATTCGAACATCTTGATTCTGATTCTAGAACACATGGTTTTCTAATCCATGTTCTACTGTAAGTCGCATGGAAATAAATATATTATATTAATACATTGTCTTGGGGTTTGAATCTTTTTAGACTATTTTTCATTCTTGCTGTCCACGAACTTAACTCCATTGATGTATTCATCGCTTTTTATATCAACTCCATTTATGCCAAAAACGAGCATTATACCGAAGAGATCGAAAGCGAGCACGGATATGGTTTCCTCCTATCTATTTCTTAAACCTGGTGTCAATGGAATTGTACCTACCAGTTTGAACAACCATTCAGATTTGAGTACATCAAAAATCGAATGAGAAAATCAAAAGAATCTTGACTGAAAACATGAAAAAAACTATCAACTTTAATGAATTCAACATTCTTCACTTTTGTATACATTAAGAGTCACAAAAATTTTCTTCATAGTCGTCATCCAACAAGAAATAAAAGTACCTTTGGGTTCAAATGTTTCTTATTATTTATTATCTCTGAAAACAAAATATACTCGCGATGGAAACATCTAAAAATAGCCTCACTCTGACCCTTTTTGTGAACTTAAGAGTGACTCTTATGTATAGATTTTATATTTTAAATAGCCTTTTATGTTACAGCTCTCTGAGTTGGCTGAAGTGAGAATAGATGAGACATGAGAGTCGATGAAAATACACAGTAAACAATTGAATATTAAATCCAGCAGAGCACAGTTTAAAATGGATTGTAAATTAGATCGAATTTTGAAAATGATGCAAAAATGTGGGTAAGGGTGATAAAAGAAAAAGTGACAAAGAGTGTGACAATAATTTGAAGAAAGGGGAACTCAATATTATTTCATCTTTCTCAAGAGTTGGTAATTGATCAGTGATCACACAAAAATTTGAATGACAAATAAAGAGAAAGATTTCGGGAAAGACACAAAATTTAAATTATATATTCGGGAAAAATCAATAATATAAAGAAATAAGCTATAAGGAAAGAAAAAGCAAGCGAAAGCACAACTTAATTTGTTTGTTTTTGATATCAAACTAAAACATGGCCCAATCAGCCTAAAACATCTTTTGTTGATTTGTTCTGCGATTGTCTGTCTTAACGTTGCATTTTCTTTCCATATCTTATTTAACCCTTAAGCAATTCTTGGGCCTCTAATTCATCTTTTTAGATCCTTATTTGTGTGTATTTGCTCTATATTAAGTTCCCAATAACTTATTCAAACCATTTGACAGCACACGTTATGTTTGTTGAGGCAATTGCAATTCAATTCCACTAAGAGACAATATCAGCCATAATCGAGATCCCAAGAACCTACAGAAAGAGTTTTTTTGTTTGTTTGTATTTTACTTTTTAGGGTCTTGTTGGCCAAAAGAATGATCACATTCTAAGGGCAAGTAAATTGTAGTTCATAACTGGAACCCGGAATTCAGTCACTCCTTCATGGGAAGTAGAGTTAATCCCTTGCTGGACACATCATTTAGTCCTTAAAGTTTCAAGTGCGTGTCTTTCTTGAGTTACGCCATTTTGAATTGAAAACGTCAATCTTTTCCATCGTAATACCTGTAATTAATCAAGAATATTAGTTATCATAAATTTTCATTTATAATTTACTATTCTTTTGGTGGGTTTAAATCATTCACAAGTTACTGACCTGCACTGCGAGCCAAAACATCAGCATTAGCAGGCAATTTAGCATTGTTTCCATAAAGGGCTACTACCATGGGTAAATTTGTTCGATTCTCGTTTGTGACAGAGCTTTTTTGTTTGTTTAGATAGTTACAATATTCCAGGAAAATGAAAAAATCGAACGCTTCTCGATCTCGACGTCGAGGATATTTGAGAGGAGCAAGAGAGCTTCGATCGCGGTCATTAAGAAATTTTATGAATCGACCTTTTTGAGCCTCATTTTCAATGAGACGAATAGCTTCACGAGCAGCTGGACTTATTTTTTTGTAATGGTCAAGGTCTTGAAGTACTGTTTGAAAGAAAATTATAAATATTAGAAATCAATGTAATCAAAAAAGGAAAATTTTAGTAATCTGATAAAAATAGATAATACGTAAGAATTGCTATGAGATAGACACATACCAATTTTAGGAACCACAACGAAGAATCGTTTAGAGAACATTAAATCCCGAACTGCTGTCAATTGATAAAGATAAGCGCTAACATGAATAACCACGTAAGGCGACAATGTCGAGTCTTTTCCACGAACTGCTTTCTCCAGGAAACTGACTTCAGACTGGAAGTGTTCAAAAAAGAAGAGATATGGATTAGCTAGATGAATTAATTAAGTGCATTTACATTGATTAGATGCACAAAGAAGAAACAATTACAAATAGATATGCGAGTGAAAATTTTGTTCGAATGAGTTTCTTACTTTTAACCAAAGATGAGCCATGTTCCGCATAACTTGTTTTTGTTTGGATAAATCATTGCCTTGAGAGCTGTTCATCTCATTCCCTTCAAAATTCCATTTAGATTTACCATTGGTCATAAATTCATCATCTTGGGAGATAGATTCCATTTTTCGAGAATAATTCTTGACACCATTAGACATTGCTGAAGAGTTTCTTGGTAACTTGGCTGTTTTCATTTCAGTTGTCTCATCATATTTAAAACTACGAGTGGCAACGTCATAGGATAATTGACTTTTGTTCATATTGTTAGTGAGAAAATGTCCGAAGCTGATAATACATTCCAAAGTAAGGAATCCCATTTCCTCTGCATCCATATTTTCATTGTATTTCTGAATATCTAAAGATGATGATTGGAATTTATCCAATAGTTTGAATTTGAGCAGGTTCATGTCTGAGGTCAATGGGTACTTTTGAGTCCAATTAGGGTCTGTGTATTTTAGACGTTCAAGTTTTGTGTTAGAGGCCAAAGCTTTGATCTCAACATCCTTTAGTATGTTTAACATTTCAGCAAACTGAGAGAATAATCCGTTTATAGATTCTGCACTGAATGCAACAAGTTTTTGATCCACACGAAGCCAATCACAAAGAGTTTTGATAGTAGGTAAACTGGTTTCGCAATAAAGGTAACGAAGAACCTCTTCAACGTTGGCATGACTTTTTAAGGTTACTTGTTCATCAGAATTTGAATGGACTGTTTGGCTATCCTCATCATCACTGCTCTTTAAGGTGTAACCTTCGTCACATACACTTCCAGTTTCACTGATATCTGAGCTGATTTCAAGGGCATCTATAGTGCTTAGTGCAGTTTCCTCCAATTCACTAAGTTCTGAATCATCTTCATCAAAATCAAGTAAATAAGTGTCAATATTTTCGTATGTAATAGCAGCTTTACGCCTCCGCAATCGAGATAGTGTTCGCCTTGGAGAGAATTCAGGAGAATTCTCTTTAGATGAAGAAGGAGCTCCTGAGCCTGACCCGTTGCTTATAGCTGTAGGTTTTTGGCTAACATTGAGTGCATCTATTTTATCTTTAAATCGCACCAAGAACGCATTGACATTCAAAAGAAGAAAATTTAGAGCCAGGGCTACGCTAGCAGAATAGTAAATACCGCTTCCAATCCCGTTAGCTCGTAAATAATTGATGAACATCAATGACATGGTTCCCATTTCAAAAATAAGAGCAGGGTCTAGATAAGTTGGCTTGTGAGGAGTTCTAGCTTTAGGTGATAAGTTGAGAGCCAAAGTGAAAGTAGTAAGAAACTCTTGAATTGCATTGGCCACCTCCATTTCAGATTTACTGGATGAATCATTGAATATGTGATTAGCAACAATGAGAAGCTGAATGATACATTTTTTGACAATTTCTTCATCTGTATCTCGATTTTTATTCATTTCCTCCGCAAGGAATCTCGGAGCCGACATCAATATTCTTTTTAAGTTACCTTCAGCTCCATCAAACGGCTTGTCGCTCATGAGACTATAAAGTAGTAAAAAATAGTGAAAGTGGGATAAGAGAAAGAAGAAAATTTACTGAATAAGGTTTTAACTTACCATCGCATATAGAAGTAAGCTGAGTCAAATCCATAATTGTAATTTGAACACAAGGTGCCTAATTGGTTGTATGGCATACCAATGCTTGGTTCAAACAAAATGGCAATGTCATACCATTTGATAGCCATGGATTTACTTTCAGGATAGTTAAGATAATCTAAATAACGGAAAATATCCCCAAGATGGATGTATATGCCGTGTGTGACCAAACGAATTGCCTCTCTTTCTTGGTTCGTAACATTACGTTGACTTTCAACTTTAAGAGGCTCACAATAAATTAAATTACGCTTCAATTCACTGAGAGCAGGTCCAAAGTCTATTTTGTATTCAGCGGAAATTTTTTGCAGTAGGCTGTAGTAAAAACCAACACCAGAAACAAAATGAAGCTGAAGAGCTATAATATCTTGACTACTCGCTGCGCCTTTCATACGCTTATAGATTTGCATAGGTTCATGATAAACCCGAGTCCAAAGAATTTCTTCAGCTTTTTTGCCATGACCAACAACATCTTTTAACAAACAATTTTCACATTGCTCCTTTAGCTTGTTGGGGAGTTTATTGAAAGTGGCCTGCATCAAGCTCCTTGTTTCCATTGATGGGATACCTTGAACAGTAGGTTGTAGGTCTAAAATAACGATTATGGGCTTAAAGTTTAAACTGATTGAATAAAAAGACTCAGGTTAAAATAGAGGAAAGTGTTACATTCATGTTGAGATAACAAAAATAAAAGGTGAGTATAACCCAAAGAGTAACAAGAGTGCAATAGCTAAAAATGAGATAAAATGAGGTTAACTTCTAAATGAGCTGCTAGATGGCAGTAAAGTAGAATTGCTCGGTTTAGGTTACGATATCAATAATTACCGATAAATTGCTGACGGTTTCGGTATTCCAATCCTAATGGATACTAATGCACTTGGGTAAGGAAAAAGAAATTAAAATTGAACTTTAGACGAGACTTGAGTTTGATAAGCCTATGGGATTCCTATTCTCTTAATTAAGGGAATAACAAAGTTAATTGTAAAATTTGAATCGTAAATGTTTCTTGAGTAGCCACTAGGCTAAAGCCAAAATTTGTTTGGCTAATTGTTGTAATGTCATCTTCTTGCGCTAATTGCCTGGTTTTTTCGTTAAACGTTAATAAATTTTGATTTCTGTCTCGATAACTTGAATAATCGGTATTTTTTGGGTATCGATATCTTTTACTGTTTCGGTATTATTCGGTTGATTTTTCTCAATACCGATCAGCTTTAAAGTGAGTAAAAAGAAAATTAAGAGAATTGTGAAAATTATAAAAAATAACTTGGCTCCTCTTTGTCAATGATTTAATGTAATTGTTTTGTTGATTCAACCTGTGTTTTTTGACCTTGTGCATCATTTACAGAGATTTTTCAATAACTTATTATGTAATCACATCTTTATCCCTCCATAACTAATCTATCGTTTCCATAATTGTATTTTTGAATTTATTTTGAAATTTTCGTTCTGCTGTTTATCTGAAAAGATTAATCTGAAAATTAATAACATCTTTATTTTAACAAATGCTTTCTGAACATCCTCTTTCATTATGATTGGTGGTATCAATTATTTTATTATCCCATTTTTGATTGACAGAACAAATGGAAAACAATACTCATGAGTTTCATAGTCGCACCACAAGACATCACTTATCCAATCTGCTGCACACTACTAATCATTTCTACGACTACCAAAAAATATCATCATCACTAAAATTTGCCCATTTTTACCATTTTTATCTTTTGATTTGGAATCTCCACATTTATAACCTCCATGACTTCAATATCAGATTTGCCTGTTTGCATACTGATTCAGATTTTTTCTCATATTAAAACGATCAGGCAAACTGCTGATCTTCGTCTTGGTAAGTTGGACCATTCATTATGCTCAAAATAATTACTTTTGTTTTTAATTTTTGCACTATCAGTTTGCCAACAATGGAATCAACTTATTCTCCGTTATTGGTCCCGACGAGAAAAGTATACAATGACTCAATACATTACAAGCCGTAAGTAATTAGACTAAAAATCTCTATTTTTCTAGATCTTCATATTGATCAGTTGTTTTTTATCTTTTTTATTTCCAGCGGAGTCATTTCTCGAGTATGCATCTGCTATTGCTAAGCGGCATCCCAGAATAAAAGAGCTCTCAGTTGAACCAGTTAATAAATTTGCTAATCCAGCCACTATTGAAGATGTACCAAGCCATTATGATGTTATTGGCAAACTATTTCTTTCACTGGAAAAGTTGAACTTCATTGACACTTTAATGGAAGATGAAGTTTTGAACGCGATTGTCAAAAACTGTCCCAAATTGCGGGTATGATCGAAAATGCATGTTTTACCTTCTTTATTTAACTTTCGTCTCTAGTCCCTTTCTTTACAATCCTGCCATGAAATAAGTGATACTGGTTTATCACTTGCAATTAAAAATGCCCCTCATATTAAGGAGTTGGAATTAATTTGTTGCCCTGAAGTTGATTCGGACCTGGCTCCTGCTTGTCGACATCTTTCTGCCCTTTCATTCGAAAATTGTCCCGTAAGCAAAACATTTGATTGAATAAATAGTTTTAATTAAAATCATGAAATTATTCACCAGTTTGATGCAGATAGTTGGACTAAATTATCAGAAGCAGGTGGAAAAGAAAATCTAGAGAAAATTGCAGCCTGTCCTATGAAATACGATACCCTTTGTTTGATCAGTCAAAAATTCCCGCATTTGAAAGACATATATATTAATGAATTTGATGATGAAGGTAAAATGATAATCTCTTACATCAATCAAATTTTATCTGAAATTCTGATTTTTTCTTTTTTAGATCAATTTATTTCCGAAAATTACCATGGTTTTCCATCACTGGAAACTTTACGCATTACTTTCGGTAGTGTTTCCGACAAAAGCAAATTGCTTCAAATAACATCTAAATGTGGTAAAATTCGAACACTTTGGGTATGGAATTGTATCAATTCAGCGACACCAACGTTCATTGCAGAAGTACTAGAACAGCATGTGAACAGTGTCGAACATCTCATCTTGGATGACAATCCGGTAAAAATTAGTAGTCTTTTTGTTTGATCAGCTAAACTTATCTGATTTTTTATCTCTATTTGCAGGCTGGACAACTTGAGAAAATTGATTTAAGAAATTTTTCTAAACTAAAAAAAATCACGATTATTGGAACTACTTTGACCAATCAATTAATACAACGTATAATAGATGCAAGTCCATGTTTAAGATTTTTGGACATATCTGATTGTGTTCCTCCGAGTAAACTCGACATAAAAGCAACGCATAATGACTTTTGGTTGAATACACGGCCCTTGCCTCAAAGACCGTCCAATATCGGTATTGACCCACCTTACAGAGCTGGTTATAGAACTAACTACGAAGCTTATGAAGGTCCTATTCTTGAATTGAGCTGTGGAGATAAACCTAAATATTATTACAAGGTGCATGACAAATGAAACCTCATACCAGAACTAAATTTAATGCAGCAAACAACGAATGTTTTGATTAAGTATTTGATCATGCAATATTTTTGGGCCATTTACAGCTCATCTGATTTTCATTATTTTTTATCACATGATTTCAGATTAACTTCACTCTCTTGAATCGAGAAAATAAAAGTTTTATTGAGTGTCAAAAATAATTTACTTTTAACTGGAAACAACTTTTTTATAATTCAAAAACAACGAATATTGACGACCGTAATTTGATTAACACTTTACGTGATTAAATCATAATCGCTATGCAAGCCATTTCATTATCGAGTTGAATTTATCGAAGTTATCTTTTCCATTCTGGACATCTTCTATTCCAGCCAAAAAAGGGTACTTTTGAAGCAGGATTTTCTTCCTTTCATTGTATCGAGCTATTTCTGTGTTACTGTAATGCTAATGAAAAAGATTAACAAAGAGTTAGTAAACTTGATTCTAGTTAATTAAATAGTTTTTAGTTGAATTAAATCTTACCAGAACTTCTTGAAAGGTATTAGATAATTTTTTGTAACAAACACAAAGTCTTAAGAGAAGAACGAGTAACAAAAAGAAATCGACTTCCATGCACAGATGTTCAAGTGTGTCTACTTCAGGATCAATGGTTGGCAAATTTTTAAAATGGTACGTCATGTAGACGGCAAGTAAATGGCATATATCTGATTGTTCAGGCCAAAAGACATTCTTCCAAAATTCAGGAGCAAAAAAGTCGACTGATTTGGCGTAAAGGAAAAAGGCTAAATCATAACCTCGGAAACCATATGAACAGTTTTCATAATCAAAAATAAATATCTTTTCCTCCAAAGTTTTTCCATCTCGACGTAAAAATATGTTTGCATATTGAATGTCATTATGATTGAAAACTGGACGCGAGTTTACTAAAGGTAAACACTTCTCGAACCAATCCATCTCCTTGGCCCAATCAAAAGAAGCCAATTCTTCACGATATTTCTCCAACTCAGGTTCAACTGAACCTGGTTTGAACAGTAATTCATTATTATCACGTCCATCTTGAAACCATTTTTTAACCAAATTGAAGACACCATAAGGCTTCTTGGATATAGGCATTTCAAGAGAATGGACCAAAGCGATCTTTTTCATTATTTCGCTCAGATAATCCATTTCTTGGCGCTTCTTAGGATCAATGTTATCATGCTAATAAAAAAAGAGTTTAAATAGAGTTAGTCTAAATAAATACATTCAATCTAAATTGATTAAATCATATAAAAAGCTGCTTACTTCAATGAACTCTTCAATTCTTCCTCCATCGAAAACACCAAATAATTTTGGACCTAAACCTTTTTCCCAGAGTATCTCTTGGATTAAAGGTAAAGCTGCATCATCAACGTTAACCATGTCACCTCTTCTGCCCACAAAATCACTTCCATAAGTACGAACCAATACTTTTTCAGGCATTTTGGTGGTTCCTTTGCCAGTCAGTTTTTTATTTGTGCAAACAAATACACGATTACATAATCCTCCTCTGTTGATCAGAAACAAGATTATCACAGTCACAATAGAACCAAAAAACAAAGTAAAATATTTCAAAAAACTTAAGCTTACGGTACTAATTTACATTCAAATTCCGAGTCTTTCAGATTAATCCATGGTCCTCCAATGTATTCAGCACATAGTTTACTACAGTTACTTGAATCCTCAGGTTTTTGTATGAAAAGATCATCAAGTGGCATTTTCAAAAGATTTACAAATTATTGCTAAAATGAACAGAATAACCAAAACTTGAAGACTGAATGTGGCGTGAAATGGTTTTCAAGTCACAGAGAAAGGCAATTGAAAAGAGTTATCGTTATATAATTGGCCAACGATCGATCAGCCTCTTCACAAGACTAGATAAAAACTAATGTAAAAACGTCAAATGATTAAACAATGATTTTGATACTTGAAAGATTAACACTAAATTGATAATAAATGGTGGAAATGTTTTGATTGTAGGCTATCAACAATCAAATTGACTCTGTAATTTGAACCTGATGAGCAGAAAGCAAATACTAGTTGAGACTTGAAACAACTTTCTTCAAGGCTCAAGCAAGCTCCATTGCTTCGGGGGATCCAACAGGGTTTCAAGATGACTACAAGATCAGTTGACCTTAACCAAACCAAAATCAGTGCAATCGTCCTTACGCAAAACTTAGATACTCAATAGATTGTAAAATGGATTCAAAAGCAGTAAATAAAATAGTTAAGAGATTAAAAGTTGGTTTTTAATCTCACCAACAAATCATGACATTGTTACTCCACAGGACGATACAGTAAAAATTGATGAACGATTAAAAGTAATTGAAAAACAAACTTTTTGTAAGCCAAAAAAATTAATTTAATGAATTGATTCAATTACGCGATGAAAAAGGGACATGAAATGAAATTACAAATTGTCTTTGATAAATCTACTAAATTAACTCAATGTAAAACTATAAAATTCAAAAAAAAATCTCTTGGTGGGTTCAAATGGATCACAATCATAAGCAATTAATTGACCAAATTGTTCTAGTAACGAGTAGTTTGACACTTCAACAAGCACTAAATGATGAGTAAAAAATTTCTTGTGACCAAATAAAAGGTAAAACTCAATTTAAGCATAGTGATGAGTTTAATAGTTGATTGCGCTCGATGCGATTGTTCAGTGGTTTAAATGAATTGATGTTAGCTGCAATTAGACTCCAGCAAATGTGTGTAGTTAATATGAAGATAATTAGTTGATGGTTGTGATAATACTTTGGGAATGTTTAGCTTGATAAACAGATGAATTTTGTTAAAAAACACAAAAGAAGAAGATGAAGATTGTTGGAAGATTCAATGGTGCTTAATTTACTATTTGATGGGATCACATGAGAAATGAGTGTTTTGCTCTGTCATGGTTAGTTGTGGTGTTAATTGGGACAGTAATCAATCTCAGGCGAGTCGTAAATTACCCCAGGTAAAAGAGGGAAAACTGTAAGTACAGAAAATGGAAGACAATGAAAAAGATATCAATAAATAATTGTTATTTTTCAGTTAATGTGAAATGGTCAAAAAATGCGGACAGTTTCGTGTAAAAATTATTAAGAGACACGAAACATAAATCAGAGAATCTGAGATCAAATGAACAAGGCACAAGCTAAATTCAAAAATATGAATAAACAATTAAATAAAGTAACAATCAAATGGTCTTTCGTTCTTTCGATTTTTGCGCATCTTTTGACCGCATTCTCTTAATCTTTCTTGTCGACATGAAACTGAAAGTAGCTTGATTTATCGTCTTGAATCTTTTTTACTTCTCAATTTCATTTCATGGCAGAAATAATGAGAGTATGTAAACGTACAATTTGACAATTTTGGAAGGTCTTTTCCATGGGTAAAGTTTTTCTTCAGGTTCTTTGTTGATAGGACCTTGAACGGGAAGATCCACTTGTACTGTTTTTCTTGGTGAACTGGTAACTGAACGAATTTTAAGAGGACTTCGACATCTACATGAGGCCAAACTTTCTTCTAGCTTTTGGACTCTACTTCGTAGACGATTCTTTTCCAATATGATTTCTCGTAATTCGGCGAAAGAGAATCGAGATTTAACCATTTCTTGTCGCTGTTTCTCAGAAAGTCTTTGAGGAGATTCCGGGTTACTGTTATTTGGTTGCCTTTCTGGTGATTTATCTTGACTATTAGAGCACTTGTCGTCCTGTAAGTCACTCTTGGAGTCTTCATCGCACTTTACTTCAGGTCCCAAGTTTTCATCCAAGATTTCAACACAACTGTTTTCCAGGTTTTTAAGCTTCTTTTTAACTTCGCGAGTTCGTTGATGGCATTCTTCAATTTGTTCATGTAACTGTCATAAAAGAAGACAAAACATTAATATCATGAATTAACTATTATGTGAGTTGATAGAGTATCAACAGGATATGTTGGAACTGTCTGGTTTAGAGACTATTCAAGGTGAGCCTTTGTTTAAAAAGACAATCAATTACAGTGTTACACCCAAAACTTCAATTGAATTAATGTGAAAATTTATTTATACTAATCATTCATATGATCAACGAAATAAACCTTACAATTTTAATCATGCGCTAATTCAAAATATTATCCCAATGGATACTGAACATGGCTGGGCATTGCCAATAAAAGGTTTGTATTTTTATTTTTGCCACATAAATTGAAATAATATTTTTAAATGTCAAATCAATCAAAAGACAGCAATGGCATTAATTACAGCAAATTCACAAATTTTCTGACAATTTAAATTTCCTTTTATCCAGTGAATTCAATAGGAAAGAAATGGATTAATTAGAAAGAGGGAAAAATCTCATTAAAGTGAGGCACAAGAATAGTGATATAATTTTATCACACAATTTCATAGAAACAGAAGATGAATGTTTTATGAGATTGAATGATCAATTGTCTTGATATAATTCATGAAACGAATCAATGAAAGCAAAATGAACTCAAACTAACAGCATATCAACATAGATTTATGAGATAATATTATAAATTATAATATAATACATCCCTTGAGAAACAATCATCTAATCATTTAATTAAGTCAATTACTTGTTGATTTATCAATTAATAAAGTTACCAAATTATATTAGTATAAAGATGGCAGCGAGTTGGTTAACCCAAATATTGAAGGTTTCAGGAAATGCAACTTGAATGGGAAACACATTTAGAAATGAAGTGATTTAAGCATCTGATGGTGAAATGAATAATTCATGGGAATAAGAACAGAATTAAAAGTTCATCAAAAATTACTAACATGTGACATTTAAGTAAGGTGAAGAATTAAAGTGACAATAACATTGAGATAAGGGTAGTCAGGCTGTTTTTGTTAATCAGGTTCACTGTTTTACCAGATTATGAAACTAATCTGAGCAGAGAGAAATGTTGACATGAACAAAACAAAGATCAATCAGTTGAAATAGAGAGGTAAAGCAATCGATCATACAGGCAATTAGATTGACAGAGAATCAAGTTATTCACGGATTATCCATTTACTTAGCAAGCCATTTTATCGAGTTTTAGGGAATCAATAAGACCACATTGAATTTGATTACTGCAATGATTCGAGTTTAAAGTTGTAAACAATTTTTTTATGGAAACGAAATTCGATAATTAACCGAGAAAACTGCTTCTCATGGGAAAACATCTTGAAAAGAGAGTCAGAAATGGTCAGAATGAGTTGACTGTTTAAATGTTTCCTTCAGGTTGTTCAGTCACGTTCAAGTCTCAAGCAGAGTCTATGTCAATTACAGTAAACAATTGAACAAAGTAAATGGCGTAAACAGAAAAAATGAAAAATAATTGAAAGCAAATGCATGTTTGAATACATGAATCAAGAAATTTACCTCTCAAGTAATCCAATAATGTTGAAACATTTACAATGTTTCAGTCATTATTGTTTTACATTATCGTTGAACCATGTAAAGACTTAATTTTAAGTTTACTTCAACTGGCAATGGATTGAAATAGTGAGAGAAGTTAGTTTTTGATTTGTTTATCATCTGTAATTTTGTTTGCTTTCAACAAACCATTTTGATCAATGGAAGCAATTGCGAGTTAATTGAGTTACTTTTTCAACTTTTCAAATTACTTAATCAAATGGATGTTTACTTGGCGTAATCATCCTTTCAAAATTGAATCCACGTGTAATTTGATGAGATAAGCTGGAAAAATTGAATCAAATTAATAATTACTTTTTCAATTTGTTCGTCTTTGGAAGCCAATTCCTTTTGTTGATTTTCACATTGGATTCGCAATTGATTAATTTGAGATTCACTAATCCTTTTCTCTTCAGCATCATTTGATTCTCCAACAGAGATGAAACCTGGAAATGTTAGAGGATAAATTAAATTAAATTACTTCAATCAGATAAATTGAATCGGATGATTCTTATGCTATTTTCATGAAAATTTGAGGGAGAACCAGAAAAGGATTGTAAACATTTTCATCTCAAAATAGTAACCAAGTTTTACAATTGAATTTGCAACATTATTCATTACTTGATATCAAATATTTATCAACAAATTCAAGGTTATCAAGTTATTCAATATTAAACTGAACAATACGCTGAATTTTAAGATGAACATTTGTAACCATTCAAGGTTTGGTTAATATCTTTGTTCTTGTTGAAGATTCATGTCAGGTGGAATGAAAAATAAGAAAACATTTGTAAAATTGATAGAACCTATTGTTACAGTAAAAGATTTCTTGAAACGATCAATTAAAGTGAAATAAAACAGAAAAATTGTAATTATCTTGAAACAATGGCATCAAGATGGATGAAAATGGATTGAAACAACAAATTGAAATTGTCGCACGAACAGAATAATGATTCTAAATTGTCAAACACAAAATAATCAGGAAATAAAATTAGTTCTAATGTGATTAACCCTTTGGATAATAAGCGCTTCATGTTATTAAATTAGTGCATTTCAATGTTTACATAAAAAATAGAGTTAAATCAAACTGAACTGATGTCATTGAACTGAACTTGAAAATTTTTCTTTAGGTGATTGGTCAATGAAAATTATAATTGCTTACGTTAATAGTGAGACACTTAGCTACACTAAAAGTTGACCAATCAATCAGGAAAGTGTTAATGCATACAAGTTTTTATGCAAACAAAAACATAATGGACATTCATCTAATTAGAGTATGTTGACTGTTTGACATTATTCATATCATTACGTATTAGTGAGACTTATGGTGAGTCTTTACATTTTAAACTGCTTTTTTGCTCATTAAATGATGAAATGAAGGCTTAATAGGTGAAAGGTTGAAGATTTTCATAAAATTATTCAGTTGATAAATAAAAATAAAAGGACATGAAATTCATAGCAAATGATGAACAGAATGAAGTAATCGATTTATCTCAAGTGAGGATGGAAAGGTGAAATTAAACTCACATAAAGCTTTAACTGTTCAATAATGGCTGACGATATAAATCGATATTTACAGGTTTGATATTAATTTATCTTAAAATTAGTAGACCTAAACTTGGAAGGTAAATTATGTCAGAGATTTTGTCAGCTTTCATGTGAGTTTTCATTAGGAATACAATTCCAGTCAAGATCACATGTTTCAAGAGACATTGATAGTAATTAAACACCAGGGTTGATCAAATTATGTTAAGAGTATAATCGCACGATGATATACATTTGAAAAAGTTACTATAACCGGAAGATTTTGTTTAATTCAGAGAGTCAGATGATTCTCTATCAAATCAGCATCAACAGTGACAAACTGGTACTTAACTGTAAATCATGTTTGACTTGGGGTTAGGTTGAGATTAGCTTAGAGGCAAAAACATTTTAACTTGTTGGACTGAACTGAGAATTGAAACTTTCAAGACTCTTCACAAATAGAGGAAAGATAAAGCTGCGCTACTCTGAAGGTAATTTTCGCAAGTTAGGATCACATCCCGCTACAATAAATGGCCTTCTGAATGTTTTTGGTTATTTTACATTTTACATATAAGTCTTTGATTACAAACCTTGAAGAGAAGAGTACATGGCAATAGAAGCTTGTAACCTTTGGTTTTCTAATTGTAATTTGCGTACTTTATTTGTCAATTCATTGTTTTCCTTTCTCCAGTTATCTTCGATCTGTTCCAATTCTTTATCTAATTTCATTCGATTCTCAGCTCGCTCACTTCTTTCTTTTTCCAGATGGTAAATACGATTGAGAAAGGATTTCAATTCAACGGTAATCTCATCTCGTTTCAGGCAACACATCTCTAAATGTTGTAGTATGTAAATTACTTTACTCATCAGCGAGTCCACATTACCACTCCCATGGATATCAATTATTTTCTCGAATTCTTTGCCAATTTCAGAAGCCAATTCGTAAACATCTTCCACTGACATTTCTTCCTTGTACTTGTCCATAACTCGATGTTTCAACATTTGTAGGACCGGTGATAATTAAATTTAAATATGACTGAATTTAAAAATAACAATAATACCTATTTTCACTCGTTGCTTTTATACAGGCAATTGATTAACAGGATCATAAGATAAGGGTGGTTAAGAATCGGTAATAAAAATATTTGCAATAACAGATGAAAGACAATGAGGAATAGTGATGAAAGATGATACAGAAAGAGGATAGAATTTAAACAAATCAATAACCAGTTAAATACACATTATAAAATAAGAAAAGACAGAACGAAAAAATATTCACTATTGCAGCACCGTTGTTACTTGAGTGTCGCTATAGAAATTGTTAAAGGACTGATTGAGCCAAAAAATTTCATAACTCCTTGTCCAGTTCAAGCTGATAAAGGTAAATCATCACGAATGAATCAAAATAAGTTAATGAATTGAAGTCATTAGTTTGCATGACTGTTTATGTTTATTTTCACTTGTATTTTACATCTTACCAGCGGTTATACCAGGCATAACCAGTAACTATGGTGACTGTAAACATTGATCACCGCCATCTGTTGGTAAATTAAGATATAAACTCTCACATTAAATTGAATATTTTAAATTGTTTAACCAAAAAATGCCAAAACATGTAACCAGATGCGTAATTAGTGTTTAAAATTATCCCCTGAACCTGAAAAGAATGGACAGTGAATATTCATTGATTTTAACAAATTAAAACTCACCAATAACGATTAGGAACGTAAAGATACCCAATCACTCCTAAAGGAGATAAATTTAAATTATCTTGAGTGCATTTGTGAATTAAATGATTTAAAGTCGATTTAGTTAAGAGATATATTTACTATTTGAAGCTGCGCAAGTTGGAACTGCCGCGGACCAAGCTCCATTCGGTAAACATGTTATGGTTGCCGATCCAGTTAAAGTGTAACCAGTGGCACACGCAAAAGTACATGTACCTCCAGGCGTAGTTGAACACATTGATGCGAATCCTCCATTAGCTGGTGCAGCTAATGGACTACATTGTACTTGAAGAGAAACCAATGTGAAATTCAGTTTAGCTTTGAAATGTTTCATCTCTATCATGCATCGTTTTTACTCACCAAAATTGTTGTTTGGAAATGGAAAGAATTGTCCATTAATGGAATCAGTTAATTGTAAAATAAGAAAAACCAAAACTGTAAAAGGAATGAATTAAAATTTAAAAGCAAAAATTAATGGAAATTTCAATCATACCAATGAAATAAATTAACTGCTTCATCGTCGATTTGAATCAAAACTAGTTCACTAGTCAACTCAACTCAATCAAATCGATAGAATGTAAATGTGTTATTTCGTGGAATCAACCAGAATCACTTCAATTAATCAAACTTTTCGCTATTGTTACAATATTTAGTCTGTTTAATGCCAAGAAATCACTTTTTAGATTATATTCAATTGTAATTGGGACTGAACCACTCAATAATAAAATGATTGTTATAATCGCAACTGTTTGAACATTATTTTTCATTCTGCGTCATTGATTAATTATGTGCAGTCAGTCTTGTGTCTCAATTATTGTCATTGAATTAATGACAATTCATTCCCAAAATCACAAAATATTGTACCAGGCATTTCAATGAAATATATCTCCTTTTGAAGGTCGATTTCTCGGTAATAAAAGAGATCAACAAAAGGATATTCCTACTAAGGCCATTCGACAAAGAGAATGTCAGTTTAGTTTAACTTATTGTACATTCTATCGTGATCAGATCACATAAAGAGATTTCTCTTCAAGTCATAGGAATAAAACTTTTTGATAGTTTCAACTGAAATCCTCAATTCAATCAATTAAAGCTCCTGAGTGAATTTATTAATACATTAAATGATCTCCAGTATATGATACAAGAAAAATGATAGCTTTGAGATGGCAATAACGAAAAATCACTTTGATTCTCAATTCAATTCCAAGATTTTACCATTTTGAATAATGGTGTAAATTCACAGCTTTCAAAAACTTATGTTTTTAATGATTTCTAGAGCAAGCTAAATGATGAGTGAAGCTAGACATAATAACTCTGATTAACTCTTGTCAATACTCTTTTATTAAAAGTTTGACATTTGAATACATAACGTTAGTGGTGCAAAAAACAAAAGGTGAAGATTTTATTGAAAATGTGTTTGGTTGTACGGTTGGATTGTATTGTCCACAGCCAAGAACGTCGCAGTATACTTTCAGAGAATGTATTATCAGTACTAGACCCAGGTCGGTTGATAAGGAATTGAAAGTTATTTTCCTTTCTTTACATTTTTTGGTTTGAATTTTACAATTTACCAAACTGTTTGTCACAGAAGTTCAGTTCGAATACAAAACATTTTCATTTCCAACTTTTACTCACAATTGTATCTATTCAGATAAGGAACCGGCTTTTTTCACCACTTTTCTCAATTACTTTTCCCACCGTATTGTCCACAATATTGTCAAAAATGTCATTGTTTTGGAGCTACTTAACCTTACACACAAGCCATGACCCATCCTTGAAAACACCTGTAAATATTATGCTTAATTATTATGCTGTTCAAAATAGTCTTTTTGTAATCAGATTGATTTCATACTTTATTTACCTTACCTACCAAAAAGTGCACATAACTTTTTCAATGGCCCCTATTAAGGAGGAGTTTTATCTACTTTTGAATTTCGTTGAATTTTGATTCGATCTCTTTAATTATCAATAGGCTTAATTAAATTTTCTTTAGTGAAATATCAATCCAAAAACTCTCAAAATCAGTTTAAAGTAACATTTTTGCGTAAATTTGATCTATCAAGGAAGATTGAAAATTATGAATTATGCTGTTCGACGACCAGTGTGAATAAGCTATTTCCAGCTTGGTTAGGAAACTTGGGTTCCAGAAACTGCTTCTGTTAGGTGAGTGTAGCATTTTAATCATTGTTTATTATTTTTAAGGAATTCCAGAACTATCATCTCCTACGATTTCTGCAGTTAATTAATAAACCAGAAGAATACGAGGAAATCATTGAAATTTGCTTTCAATCAATCAAATCACACGCTACAGTTATCATTGGTTTTTGTGCTCAATTCATCTTGTGCCTAATTACAATCAAAGATTAAGGTAGAAGATACTGCAATGAAGGAGAGGAAACTTATCCCCACTGGAGGACCCTTAATAGAAACCCAAAGGAAAATTAAGCATAAAAAAACTAAAAAATGATTTAAAAAAAAAATTGATTAGCGATAAAAAATTGATGATTTACAATAGATTTGAATTTTTTATTAGCATGTGGCCAGGCGAGCATCCGTTAGCTGGACTGCGACGGCTAGTGCGTCATCTAACCATTGAACACTGAGACCCTTTATCTAGACTTAAAAAGGAACCAGAACTAGAAAGCCAAGGGAGATTAGATAGTCCAGAAGGAATACACAATCATATGCCTACAAGATTTGAACCTTGATCTACTGAATCAGAGCCAGAAATCTTAACCAAACCTAACCTAACCTAACCACAGGTTCAATTGTAAAGCACACAGAGTCCTCCAGTGAGGATAAGTCCAACTTTCATTGCCTTCTCATGGATTGCTATCTCTTCTACACACGAATTTATGTACACCCCGTACTCTACTCTTTGATTTTAAATTATTTCAGGCGGTTTCATAATGAAACTTTGGTTGCTTATTTCATGATAAACGTCTCAGCATTAAACAATTTTTACAGTTTGATTTGTTTCATTCCAGGCTGAATCTTTTCGATTTTTGTGTTGATATTGTCTATTCAAGCTGCTAAAATGAATATCGATGAATTACCTGATGACTGCTTATTGTGTATTTTCAATCATTTCGAGGAATTTCAAACTCTTCTGAATGTCTCTGAAGGTGAGTAAATCTTTCTTCTTTATAATACAAACTTCAGAGCCTGAAGGGTAAAGGAAAAGGTTTTCTAACTTAAGCTTACAAAGTAGTGTTATGGTAGCGTTACAATGTGATTCAAAGCTATTTTCATTAGTTTATATTGAAAAATCAGATCATAAGAAATTGAAAAGAAAGGACAGAACCTCTAGCCTCTAGCTGAACCTCGCTAAAATTTTCGAAAAACACGTTTAATACGCTTTTAATACAAATCAAATATTCAGTTTGTGTCTTCTTCTTTTTCTGTTACATTCTCCTCATTGTCATCTTCATCTTCATTCCTATCAAACTAACAATTGTAAGATAATTTTTACTTCTTACGTGTTACACCCTTTATATAATATCGATTGAATAGCTTACTCACCAGTCATTGCAGAATGCCACGAGAATCATGTTAACCTGTTTTTCCATTTCACGGCTTTTACATGACTTTTTGTATAATCAGAACTAATGATTGAAAACTTAAATTCGAAGATGGCCAATTCTCGAAAGTCTATGGTTCAAACCTGCGATCTATAGCACCAACTATTCGTGAGTTTTGATCACAAAGAAGCGTAAAATGAAATATGCCCGATGATTTATGTTTGATTTCAATCTTTTTCATTGAGCCAGTTTAGTTTAAAATGTCATTTCTTAATGATTTCTTGAGATTCACGATTAATATTACAGTAGGAATTCTATAATGAGTCCATTATCTCATGAAATCGAAATTAAGTGACCAGAAATTTTAGACTTTGGAAAACTTATTTATTTTTTTATTTATATTTAGTTTGTGAAAGATGGAGAGGTTTGGTTCTTGAAAGACTACGCAAAGTTCAATATTTAACAGGTAAGCTAAAAGTAAATGAGGAGAAACGCAATTAACACAATTTTTAATTTAGATGATGACGAGCTCCTAGGCCATCCAACTGGAAATGCCATAGTCTTTGAAAACAATGAACAACTTGAGGGATTTAAACTATCAAAATGGTTTCCTAATCTTAAGGTGAGTCCAATCGTAAGGGCTAAAATTAAGAAGACAGAACTTATTTTTCCATAAAATATAATTCTATTTTTCTAGATTCTAGATGTTCACGAGGATCTTGATGTGAATATTGTCGCAAATTTAAGAGTCAAAGGACTGATATTGAAATTTTACGCACATTTGGAAGTTTTGGATAATATCACTTTTAATAATCCATCACTTGAAATGTTATCGATTTCACGCTTCTGTAGTTTTTTCGCCAACGATATCCAAGGACCAATGCTGAAACAATTATGCATAACCGACTGTAATGTTACAGATTTTGCATTTCATGCAGAATATTTTCCAAATCTGGAGAGACTTCGTATTGATGCAATCGCTTGTAAGCTATATTTACTCATTGGTTTATTTGTTTCTTTATCTCATTATGAATTTGTGTCTTGTTTATGAAACAGGCAACCATGACGATATCTCAATTACTCCTAGACCTGTTCTTAAAAAGCTAGAGATATTGGAAATATGCAACGACGAAGCTTATCGGCGTGGTTCATATCGTGGGTTCAGACTTGCAGACTTTTGTCCAGCTTTGAAAAGTGCCTTTCATTATTTGCGAAATAGGGTAAGACAAGATTACAAAGCTACCTTGAGACAGTTTTTTTGATTAAACTATTTTTTATATTTGATAAAGGGTACGATTGGCATTGAAAGTGAGACCGAAAATCATTTCTTAGAAGATTTGGTTCTTGAGTTTGTTAGTATTTCTTTATAAATTTAAAATTGAGATTCTTCTAATGTTTAGTATTTCCTTTTTGACATTACAGGAGAAACGTCAGTTGTGGTCAGATTTAAGAGAAATTTTGAAAAAATATCCAAATTTAAAACATTTGGCTATTAGAGGAGGCGATGCAATATCTGATGAAAATATTCCTGAACTTTTGGAGCTACTTCCTCGCTTAGTTCTTATTGATATCAGAGAATCGGAAAAAGTTACCGAAAAGTCAACTAAATATATTGATTGGTACTGTGAACATCATAATCGTTCAATTTCATTCTATTGCCAAGCTGACGAAACTGAAATAACGAAGAAATGGCCTCATTTATCCACCAAACGCGTTTCTATTGGTCGAGGATTTGATTTCATGAAAAACTGTTTCTTGAAGAATCACTCAGATTTACCTTATTTACTGGATCCTGTTGAATAAAAACAATCTATTATTATATTGACGGGATATTGAGTCACCAAATAAATTGTTTTTTGCGTTTCAGTATTAGATAGCGAGTGTTTTTTAAAATAATGAATATCTTTATATAAATAAAAAACTATTGAAACTTGCCATTTCATTAATGTTATTTTGCCTACCTTTGAACAAATTCAAGATATATGTTTCCAAGTTAACAACCTAATAGAAAAAATAAGTCATCCCCTCAATGGATGGAATCTACTATAGATGCCCAAATGGTTCTCTAAAAGTCGGTTGATAATGAAATGAAAGTTATTTTCCTTTCTTTACATTTTTTGGTTTGAATTTTACAATTTACCAAACTGTTTGTCACAGAAGTTCAGTTCGAATACAAAACATTTTCATTTCAAATTTTTATTCACAATTGTATTAATTAATATTAATTAATACAGAAACAGTAGAAAGGGACAGAGAAGAAGGTCTCTTTTTCTAGCCTTAAGTTGCCTAGTAACTATTGCCGTTTGAAGGGAACTTAAGCCCAGCACTTGAGAGGTCGCCCTCTCAAGTAACTAGTGACACACGGCGCCTGTTAAAGGCCGAAGGCTGGTATACATCCGGTTGACTGAGAAAGAATAACTTAAGATAGAGATCACTGTACTTTACAAGTACAACTTACTCTTTGTCTTTTACCCTTTTGTTCAAAATCACCAGATCCAAGTGAAATCTTTAGTTATTATTAATAATATTCATTTTAAAATGTTGATAAATGAACTGACCGACGATTGTTTGCTCGCCATTTTTGACCAATTCGATAACCTGTATCATTTAATAGTCTGTTTTAAAGGTAATCATGAATCATGTTTTTGACCCATAATCATTAGTATTTGAATTATTTTTAAATGTAAAGTCAAGTAATGTGCTCTGAAGGCAATTGAATGATGATTTAGAAAATCAACACTTTTAGTAATTCAATACAAAGGAGTATGGGTAAAAATTCTGACTTTCGAGTTAAGAGTTCAAACTTTGTGAGTTTGTAGGCCCATAAAAACTGAGTCCATTAGTGACATTAAAAATTTTCTCCGATCGACCGTTTTTGAGAAAATCGAGGTCAAAGTGCAAACTTCGATCGCCTTTTATTCGATAATGGGACAAGATTTTTTCACGAAACTTATTTTCCTTAGGTATCTTTTGATGGCTAAACAGAAAATGCAATTATTTTGGAAAATAAAATTCTCTGTTTCTGTGCAACAGATACCTTCGATATCACTTCGATTTTCCGTTAAACCTCCGCCATTCTGTGACCATAATAGCTAGAGATCTGAAACTTAGTATTTGTCCATAAACATTGTTAGTAAATAGCATCGATCGAACACTTTTTTCAATTTATCAACAGTTCTCTTGATTTTGGACATTGACCTGAAAAGTTTGAACCCCGATATCTCGACAATGGCTATATCCACAATCATCATTCTTCGTTTTATCATTAGATCTTATCAATAGCTATTATATAGTTTGACTAAATATATAAAAAATTCAAGTTTGCTTATTCATTGATGAGTATACTTATAGCGCATCATAAGCATTATCATTCAACTCAATATACGAAATACAAAATCTGACAACACAAGCTAGAACATTCTTTGTATAACTTTTGATGATTACAAAAGTCTAATTTACTATAGCTATTGATAAGATCTAATGATAAAACGAAGAATGATGATTGTGGATATAGCCATTGTCGAGATATCGGGGTTCAAACTTTTCAGGTCAATGTCCAAAATCAAGAGAACTGTTGATAAATTGAAAAAAGTGTTCGATCGATGCTATTTACTAACAATGTTTATGGACAAATACTAAGTTTCAGATCTCTAGCTATTATGGTCACAGAATGGCGGAGGTTTAACGGAAAATCGAAGTGATATCGAAGGTATCTGTTGCACAGAAACAGAGAATTTTATTTTCCAAAATAATTGCATTTTCTGTTTAGCCATCAAAAGATACCTAAGGAAAATAAGTTTCGTGAAAAAATCTTGTCCCATTATCGAATAAAAGGCGATCGAAGTTTGCACTTTGACCTCGATTTTCTCAAAAACGGTCGATCGGAGAAAATTTTTAATGTCACTAATGGACTCAGTTTTTATGGGCCTACAAACTCACAAAGTTTGAACTCTTAACTCGAAAGTCAGAATTTTTACCCATACTCCTTTTATTACAGTTTGTGTTAAATGGAGCCATTTAATTGTTAAACGAGCTAAAAAGGTTAAATATTTTATAGGTAAGAATTCAAATTTTAATGCAGTTTTATTCACATTTTGATCAATTTACTAATCGAAGAAATTTTTATTTTCAGCGAATCGATCTCCTTTACCTAATTATTTACCTGATTACGTTTATTATAGAGACAGAGATCTGATTGATGTAGCCGGTTTGAGCTCATTATTATTTCCAAATTTAATAGTAAGTTGATATTGTTAATCAAACCTCTTTTTTAATTTTTCATTGAATATTAATTTTCTTATTTATCTTTCCCCTCAGGTTGCTGAATTTTCTGATAGATTCCAAGAAAAAGTATATTGTTCCGATATTGAGGCATTCGTCAGAAAACATGAGCCTTTGAAAGGAATGATCACTTCATGTCGTGTAGCAATGGAAGAATGTTGTGATAAACTCGAAATGCTAGCCACCGAGTGTAGTGAGCCACGCATTCTACGAAATTGTTCCAGTATGAAACAATTGAGTATTTTTGACTATACTCTAGATGATCTCAAAGAGGACGTACAATGTTTGCCAAATCTTGAAAGACTACAAAGGATCCTTAATGGTGAGTATATAATATTTTTTCAGAAAATATTCACTTATAAAAATCCATCTTGCATCTTCAGGCAGTTTCTCATGTCAGTATGAAAAGCTCAAAGTAGTTGAAATGTCCTCATATGTTTTCAATATTGGTAGGATTTTTTACGGTTTCCAGTTCATGGATTCATGTCCGAATTTACAAAGTGCCCATATTACCCTGAAAGCTGATACCATGCTTGTTGATGAAACATTTAAACACGAATGTTTGCAAGATTTAGTGATACATTTTGTAAGTATCAATTTAATTCGAAATGTGAAAATATTTTCGGTATGCACAAATTTATTCGATCAATTAAAGATTGCAATCAAGAATGTTAGGTTTTTCAGGCTAGAAGGGCCGTCTGTTTGTCCACATAAACTAATTAATTTTATACTTATAGGAGCATGATAGCCAAAACCGAATTGATCTAGAAAGAGTTCTTATGAAATATCCGAATCTCAAACATCTTGCGTTGAGAGACGGTTACTTAAATACTGAATATATTAAACAATTGGTTGACATTTTACCAAATCTGGTTATATTTGATGTTCGCGGATGTCGTAGAGGCTTTCAAAGAACTGCTAGTTATGTCCAGAATTATTTTGAACGAAATGGAAGATCAACCAAATTTTACTGCAATTGGAATCGGCGTGAAATCAAATCAGATTGGCCTCAGTTGTACACTAAACGACAGAAAATTTGCCGAGGCTTTGATTTCATGGAACGTTTTTTTCTTACATATCCCCATCGACACATTTTTGATGTCTAGTGATTATTGAAAATCACACACGCGTGAATATTAAATTCTATCTATTGTCTAATCTAAAAATTCGTCTCTGTGATTAAAGAAACGGAACTTTCATATCAAATTAAGAAGCGGTAGATAACTTTTTTGGATTGTAGTGGCTTCAGAATGAATAGAATGGCAAATCGTGAAATGTGAATAAATTTTACTTCTTTCGCCATGATTTCGAACGATCTTTCTTAAAATTTTATATGCTGGTAAAATAATGCTAATTTTCGTGTTTCTTATTTTGCTCACTTTTAATTTTCTTAAATTTTTTTATGTTGATTACTGAACAAAATCAGTGAGAAAAAATTTCATTAGAATTAATAATTCTGCAAAATATGATTTAGAAATTAACAAATTTTTGTTCTTGTTTATTAGTGGACTAGGAAATCACACAATTTTTCTGATGATAATCAACGTTGGCTGAACTGTAAGAGCGAAATGGGTGATGAATATGAGGGTTGTAATGCAGTCTATTTAATGAAGGAAATTCATTTGTGTCACATGTGAAGAAGGCTTTTGCTTTCCGACGAATCGTACTGTTAAGGTCTTTATATTTGTGAGAAGGTGAATGAGGTGATCTGGCAGATTTCATGGTGTGGCTTGTCAATGATGAATACGACTTGATGTGAAATTTCAATTTCGGAGGAAAGGTAACTGTTCAACTCCGTAAACAGTGGTACACGAAACGATAGATCTACAGCAAAGCTCTGTTAAGGAAACAACTGAATTATGCTTCCAGACATTTTCCATTCCATTGCGAAGAAGAACCTACTTAACCTTACACACAAGCCATGACCCATCCTTGAAAACATCAATGACCCTCCACTTAAGTAGACCTAAATACCAAGAGCAAGATCGCGATTTGTGTAAATTCAAGTTTCTGGGTAAAAGCCAGACAACATAACCAAAGGCTATCGAAGAACGATTGATAATCGTGGTTTCTATGAATATCTCTAGATGGAGTTACCTGTAAATATTATGCTGTTCAAAATAGTCTTTTGTAATCAGAATCTGATTATCAGATTGATTTCGCTACTTTATTTAGCATTTTATTCATTGTTTATTATTTTTAAGGAATTCCAGAACTATCATGTCCTACGATTTCTGCCGGTAATGTATAAACCAGAAGAATATGAGGAAATCATTGAAATTTGCTTTCAATCAATCAAATCACGCGCTACAGTTATCATTGGTTTTTGTGTTCAATTCACCTTGTGCCAAAGAGTAACCTAATTACAATACAGTAGTATCTTCACTTTTTGATATGAGTTTCAACTCTACTTTGGACTGTGGCTTTTAAGCAAGTTGAATTTTAACATCTAATCTGCTAAATGTGATAAATCACTCAAAATCTCGAGATAGAGATGTTGTTTAAGGTGCCTTCAAATCTACACTTAATGCATCGTTCATTTTGTGGAGCCAAGTCCATTGTCAAGGAATCTTTCAAGGATGCCCAGAGCTTGATCTTATTTAATAAATTAGAAACTCGTCAGTTGATTGGCAACAGTTTTCTAGTCCAAGAAGATTTCATTACTCCTGAAGAAGAAGAGAGATTAATCAAAGAGATCGATCCACTGTTGAAGCGATACAAATATGATGACACTCATATTGACCATGTTAGTTTATTATGATTTTATTTTTCTTTAATAGAAAAACCTAGTTTTAATTTTAATGTTTTATTCTATATTTCACTTAGGCAATAAAACAATACAAAGAAATAGAAAGATCTAAATGGACGTCACCGAATCAAGTCATCATTGACCGTATAAGGACTGCAGTTTTTAGCTCTGGTGAAAAAATATTGGATCCTGTACACGTTCTTGATCTCTCTCCTAATGGTTTCATCAAACCTCATTTAGACTCTGTTAGGTTTTGTGGACCAACAATCGGGGGTGTGAGCCTTTTGTCGGATTGTGTTATGAGATTTATACACGAAAAAGATCAATCACTTGTCATGGACGTTTGGCTAAAACGTCGTTCTCTTTATATTATGAAGGATACAGCACGATATTTATTTAAACACGAGATTCTTGGCTCTGAAAACTCAATGTTTGGTAACACTGTAGTACCTCGATCTCGGCGAGTCTCGATCATCTGTCGATGTTTGCCATAATCTTCATTGACCCTTAAAGGAAACGATTCTCTATCCGATGAGGATAGTTTAAGGCTCAGCAAAGCAAGACGACATTAAAATCATTGGATGAAAGTCAATCATTTATTCAAAAATTGTATATTTAATGAATAGAAAGTTCATTTGTAAAGATGTGAAATTTTTGAAGTTACAGACAATTTTCCGGAATTCAAGAAAGATATTAATCATCACTTACTCTATTCTCATTTTATTGTTGTATAGACTTAATATCTGATTCACTCAAATTTGACCAAATTAGAGTATCATCTTGCAATTTCATAGTTTTACTTACAGACAGAAAATATTATCTCACATACGCTTACTTTTCTTTACAATTATCATGATTCAAAGTTAATGAGATGAAAATTGAATAACCCTGAATGTAATTTTTTTGTGTTCAGATTTTCACATTAGTTTTTTTAATCTCGACACCACGTTACGTTAAAATAAGCTTAGCTGAAGAAAAGCAGATATAAAACACTAAATCTGTTATAATTATAGTTGAAAAGAGTTTGAAAGCTGAGAATTGGCGCATCAATGATTGAGCTAAATTTATTATTTTTTATAATTAAAGTCATTTTTAAATTGTCACAATCGTCAACCAAATATAATCAATTCGAAGTGAGTTTATCGAAATCAGCTGATTTTCTTTGTGTTTTCTTTTGAAGACATGTCAAAACAACAAAATCCATTCTCAATGCATGCTTGAAGTAAACATTATTTTAACTTATTTTGTGTTAATTAACTTTTTAATTAAGTTATGGCAATTTTTGTTTTAAATCTTCACCAAGTCACCAGGAATAAATTAGTCAACTGTGTGCTTTATCTCCGCCATTTTGTGAATGATCAACCAAATTGTGCTCATCTTACTGAAGTGTAACCAGTTTTATTGTAACCAATTCCCTATTTTACCTTAACCCTGCTTACCAACAAAGTCTTGGCGTGAAATGACATCTTTACAGGACAATGAAGATGTTATTGTTGAGATTATTAAATTTTTAAATATTCAAGAGAAATTGAAATTTCGTGCGGTCTGCCGAAAATGGTATCATCTGATTGAACGTAATTTATCCCGGACCCGGGTTTTGGCTAACATTGATACTAAAAATTTGGGTTACCGTAATTCTGCATGTAGTGATCCTCGCCATCAAATAAGTCGATTGAATACCATTGAATACCCATGGAGACACGATTCGGAGAAATTTTCCCTTCTACTGTCCAATGTTTTAAACCACTTCTACCAACTAACCGCTCTCTATCTCCATGACTTTAAAATTTCAACCAACCAAGTATCTCAACTTGCTGATTTCCCTTTCTGTGGCACAACTCTGTCTCACCTCAGTTTAACTGCTTGTGACCTGGGTCTGGTATCAAGGCGAGAATGGAGTTACCTGTGCTCAAAAGTATCTCCCCAACTTGTACATCTAACACTTTATCAAAACAAGAACATGAGTCGAGATAAACTGTTTATTGTTAAACGCTACTGTACCAGTCTAATTGAAATCAATTATGATTTATTCAAAGCCGATTCCTGTCTGGATACTATGATTCCGGATAACCTGAATAAACTGCATGTTCACATTTCAGATGTACCCATTACCCGTTTGAAACATATGTTTGTTGATGCTCTCAAACATCAAATCAATTTAACTCACCTCAGATTACCATGTATCTCCATGTATTATTGTCATTTAGAGGCGATTTGTGCTACCTTGAGACAATTGGTTTGCTTGGAAGTTCCATTGGTTAAAGATTATTTGGATCATGAGCCTGATTGTGGCATTGTAATTGGTGATTTGCCGTTGTTGGAGTGTTTCACATTGTTAAGCTTTCATTTTGATGTTACGGACCAAGACCCACCTAATATCGATAAAATGATTACCAAGATATCTCAAAGGAGAGGTCGAAGATTGAGAAGCTTAAAAATAGGACAATATAGTATTACTAGAGATACTTTTATTGAAATCACCTCCAACTGTCTAAATCTACAAGAATTTCATTATTTTCTCGATGATCGATGCGGTTACTGGGGACACCGAAATCTATTTCTTATCAATGGTTTCCTTGATGATGATGTTGGCAAACTATTGGCTAGCTTAGAATCGCTCAGAGTTCTCAACATAAGCTATTCTGTTATATCAGACCATCAAATTGCAAGCATAATTGAGAGCTGTCATAATCTCCGTCGGCTACATTTGAATCAATGTAAATTTGCTGGACTCAGATGTTTAGAAGCATTTATCGATTCAGCTCGTAAAGCTCCAAACGAAGCCTTCTATCTCATCTTGGGTCATCTGAACGAAATCATGTCTTGTTTTAATATCAATCGTCATAAATTACAATTACCAGCCAATCTGAACTGTGATTGTTTCCACCAAGAATGCGACATTGACGTTGTTTACGACTAAAAATACAGAGATTAAAAATCCACAATAAATCGTAACAACTTAATTCACTGGCCAAGAGACTCATCAATTGCAATCTTCCCGTGAATAGTCATTTGGAATTATTTTTTAAATCAATTAACCTTAAACAATTCAAGCTCAAATCCAAAATGGGCTGATCCTTATTGAACAATAAACTATTGTTTATTTGTATTAATTTTTTCTAAATTTCAATAAAAGGCTGGTAATATTTATTTTGAAATGTATTGTTTGTATTCACATCATTTGTACAGACCAATCCAATGTAAGAATATTATTTAGATTTTATTTTAAAGCTTTTGCTTGGCAATTTGACCGCAGCTACTTTGATTATATTAACCCGACTCTTTTCAATTGACTGTTTCTCAAACCAGTTTCCTGAAAATTTAATCAAATCAGCAAAAGAGATTCCAAGCCAAGTACCGAAACAAGAAGCGATATAACAAAAGAACTCGATTCTTTCCATCCGTGCCGTATAGTAATAATTGACTTCAGCTCCAAAAGGTCGCCTCACATAAAATTTGGTTAAATTGCTTGAATTACTTTTCTCTTTTCTATTGATCAATGAAGTTGAATACCATTTGTTGAGACAAGCATTTTTACATGTCGATTTTATGGAACACAAATAACGACCCGGAGTTTGACAAGATTTACTGGACACAAAAAAAGGTAAACTCTTCTTTGGATCTGCTGGAACATCATAAGGCCAAATTGGACAAACCTTTCTGACCATTGCACACCTACAATTGTAGACACAAGACATTCGCCCATAAACTTGTTCTTCATAATCGATGCAATCAGTTTGGTAAGGATATCGAGATAAATAAGTAGTCATTTTGGTGGTCATTAAAGTGATTTGTTCAGTTTCTTTGGTTGAAAATCGAAATGTATCAGCTTCATTTAGATGCAATACTTCGACCGGGTTGTGAACATAAACAGCGATCCAATAATTTTGTGAAGTTTGAAAGTTAACTCGATAAAAGTGTTCAGAGTTTTTAGTAATAACATTGATTTCACTTTTGTTTGGTCTTTGATGGAAATATGTTGTACATCTATAAAGTTGATCCTCTTCGTAATCATATTGGATTGTCTCGATTGGAGTAACGAAATTTTCACAATCATCACCAGCTGAAGAATTGATTGGAACAAGTTCAGGCCAAGGCGTCTTACAAGTTATTTCAACTGGTTCGTGTGGTAACTTTGAAAGTATATTTATGGGAACATATCGAAGATTATTGCTTAACGGACCAACCGTTTGGTTATATAAACTGATTGCACTGGAAGTTGGGACAATTTGAGTTGACGGGGTAATCAGTTTGAGACAAATGGTCAATCCAGGCATATTTACGTTGCGAGGTGAATCTATTTCGATGTCGGTTCTAGTTGGGAATCTGAAGTAAATCATGGAAACTGATGATATTTGCCAAAATAAACCAACACTTGCTATTAACCAAGACACAAATTTGATCCAGAAAAATGAACTTGCCTTGAGTTGATATTTTTTGCTTGTTAATTGACGCATTGAGCCATTAATGAAAGTTGGTTTAAATTTTCTTGGTTCACCTTGGCTAAGATTACCTGGAAACAATGTATAAGATCTTGAAGACGCTAAACGAGCATTTTTTAAATTGATATTCGAAGTCACCATTTTTTCGTCCAAATAGACGCCTGATTCTGTTCATCCTTATAAACTGAAATAATTTTATGCATTACAGTTTTGAAGGAACAGAAATGCATTTGGATTGATTGGAAGACAATTCATGATTGACAACTCAATTGTTGTGATTAATTGGAAAGAAAATCTATAAAAAGATAATATCTTTTGTTGGTGAAATTCAAATTCAGTGTTTTTCAAGTGACCGTGAAATTGATCGAGTTATCCAGAGCCGTGAAAATATCAAAATTAGCCGAATCAGCACATGACATCTTTTTTTGTCAAGTTGATTGATTTCTCTCGAATTAATGATTGATTATTGCAATTAAAAAAGTTAGCAAGGGAATATGATGTTATCCAATGCGTAAATCAACTGATTCCAAGAAATTAATCAATTTTTCGCCGAAAATTCCACAGAAAATAATCAATAAAATCAATCTATTATTATTATTATTATTAAGTTTGTCACTCTATTCAATAACAAAGCTTATGTTTAGCTTCTGGTAATATATGAAGTCTCTTTTGAGTAAATTTTTCGACCTTTCAGGACTTGAATCCATTTCACTATTTTAAGATCGAATGTTTCGGGTAGTAATAATATTTATTTAGTTGATCTGAAAACGAAAAATTAGACAGATAGCTAAATACACTCAATTTTGCTTCCGAACTCATTCCATGAAATTATTAAACAATTTTGATTTGATCAGACTCAAAGGTTGTTACTAGAAAGAGGCAATTAACACAATTGTCACATCTTGCAATTGAAGTTTACTTCAGTCAAAAAGTAATTTAATTGTAATCTGGATTGTAACTAAAAAAGACAAAGTTAACATTATTGTCAAATTTATGCACAAATTGACACAAATGCTCGAAAACGAGTAAAAATTATTTCTTTCAAATTATAACTTTTTTTGGTTAGTAGACACATAAAAACTGCGTCCATTGGTGAGATGCAAAAGTTTCTCTGACCAATAGTTTTTGAGAAAATTTAGGTCAAAGTTAAAACTTCGATTGGCTTTTGTACAATTATGGAAGCAGATTTTTCCATCAAACTCTATTTTACTCATGAAATTTTCGATAGTCAACCATAAAATGCACTTACTTTGAGAAATAAAA